TTTGTTTTTAGTTAGACTCGATCTTTTTCATCTCAGAAAATGTAGGTAGTTATTTTACAATCTGTTTAATCATTATTATTTATTGTTTTAACGGCTTTGTCGAATCCAAAAAGTAAATTGACGATGGAAAAACTTCAGATGCTTTTACTGTTTACTCCTATGACATGCGTTTTAGTAATTTCTTAACCGAGCACTATATAGGTAGGTATTTACCATAGTTGATGCTAATTTCGTGCTACATCAAAGAATTAAGTAAATGGTTCAAGTGTATGATTACGTGTATCTACAATAAACAGTTGCCTCAACTTTATTTGCTTTCTTAATCAGACGTCTGGATTTGCAAGTAAGTGAACCCGATCTTACATAAACAACATTCCTACTTACATTACCTTTTCCATTAAAAAGAAAAAGGTGAAGATGAAAAGAAGTGGACAGAATGTACAATCTACAGGGCGATTTGTATTGAATACACAATATTAGAAAGTGGTAGATTTTAGAGTTTATAAATTTCAAGAAAATAGTGAGTACTTCGTTGTTTTTCAAACCAGGAGAGACAATATATTTGATGACATTTTAAATAGGCCATTTATATTAATTACTTCTTCCAAAATTTTCATAAAGATACAAGATCTATTAATCATTAAAAATTAAGTACGTAAAAAAGAAACATCTCGGAAAGTTTCAGTAATCTTCTAAGTAACCAGATATTTTTAGATTATCCCAGGGTCATTGCATTTTAAGCGTAAAAGGTCTGAATCATCGCGGCGATTTTTACAATTTAGCATTAACAATACGAGCAATCAACTTATTCCTTTTGCTTTTTAATTTTCAAAAGAATTTTATGAGGGTAATGCACAAATTCAGTACACATAATTTATTGGTTTGCTAAATTTTGACTTGGTACGATTATCAAATAAATTCTTATATGAGGATCTCTCAGGGGTGCCCTAAAGCTTGAGCAAGCTAGCTTTTGACTAATTTTCGCCTGTTGATTCACGAGCATCATAAAATCAACATTACACTAAACTATAGCTGTAGAGATCTTTATAAAACAAAGCTTAAGCCAAATTGAACACAAACAATCTTAAGTGAGAGTCTCCCAGGGGTGACCTAAAGCTTAGGCAAGCTAGCTTTTGACGCATTTTCTCCTGTTGACTCACGAGCATCATAAAATCAACATTATACTAAACTATTGCTTTAGAGATCATCATAAAACAAAGCTTAAGTCAAATTGAACACAAAAAATGCAGGTGCATATATACTTCTATACTGAATAGTAATTGCAACATAAACCTTATGTGACCCTCCATATTTAGGAATAAAACGTATCCTTTAAATTAGGTCTTAAGCCGTTACAGACGCTCCTTTTAATTTAAAATCTATGGTAATTTAATCAAGTGCATAACTCTTCAAAAAAACTGCTAATCCGTATAATTATCACACCGTCAAGATCCTTGGAAACATTGTGCAGAAAGAGGAGTGCAAGTTAAGTTCGCGGATCCTGTGCCTCGACGGACCCGTACAATGGGCCACAAATATTAATTAGCACAAGTCTGATATACTCTTCTGGTCGCGGTTGAACGATTGCTGCAGACGATGACGACCACTGTTGGCACTGACTGTGAACTTGTGTGTGCGAAGGACCAGTTTGGGGGGCGGCGGCTGACACGAGCACTCACCACCGCCTTCTGCGATCGGATGCGATGCTATGCCGCCCGGCCGTGGGAGAGACTACGGCCCAAATATTTAAGGAATGCTGCCCAGAGTGTAACGACAGCTAATTGAAGGCGATCTCCTCGACCACATTGCCACCGAAAAGTCATTTTCAAAAAGCTTTTTACACACCTAAATAAAGCTCAGAAGCAGTACTAAACTTTTAAATGAACACGGAGAAAATGAAAATGGAAAATCTACCTAAATATTAAAGCGATATTTATCCCACTAGCGCGTTGCTTCGTAACCGAAAATATTTTGGACCCGAATTTGTAAAAATAAAATTCCAGCAGAAATAAATTTGTTAGGTATTTTAGTTGATATTACAAATTAAACTATAATAATTAAGAAACTTGAAATAATTTTTAAAGAAACATGTCAAAATTGAGATTATTACAAGTTACCTAATAAATTCTACTATTTCTACAGCAAATTCAATCATTTACAATCGAAAATTGTAATTTTTGCGTTATCATTTAAAAATTTAGTTTCCGTGAACCAACAGAAAATATTGTACTAAAAATGTCTTCAGAAAATAAAGTCGATCATAGATCTTTGATCCTTACAAATGTTGCTGCTACGAAAAATACATAATATGCATCTATTTGGAAAATAAGTCTGAAAGCTTTTACATAATTCACATTCCATATCATCAAACAGTAATGTAAATACAAATTATTTGCTAGAATCAAAGCCAGGCTTAAATTTTGTATCGAATATTTGTAAATATCGAATTATTCGTTTTTATCGTATAATAAATAATATTGGTTTCGATTCGTTCGTAATGCTATTCGCTCGATTCTAATAGAAACCAAATTCTACGTGTTCATTGACAAATAATAAAAAAAAATCGTCAAAATAGCCAATATCTCTTTACATTACACAACAAATATTAGCAACAAAGCTAACAGAACTCGACTAATTTAATCCTTCAAGGTTAAAAAAAGTATCTAATATCTTTGAACTATTCACAAATAAAACGCTGTGAATTGTAATTTCGTTGTTTCGACAAAAAACACGCAGAACAAATTATTTTACATGTTTGGGGAAGTAATTATTGATTAAAGGTCATTTTTAGATTGTTTGGTACATTAATGTTTAATTGTCTCTGATCGATCAATCTTCAGGTTGAGAAGCAACGATCAAGTGTAATTCTTCATTTTTAATGGGAGTCAATCATGAGCCCTAGGAGGCGCCTACTATTAGGGACCAACCACCTGTTTATTTTCATTTTCATTTGGTGTTTCGTTCCACTGTGCTTTTAAATACCATTCTTCCAACGCGAACCGCAATATGATGAATGCCGGTCTGGAGGCCACGAAGATGTGCCGATCTGACTTGCAGTTTTTCTTTTTTATTTAACCCAGAGATGGTCAGCTAATGGACACGATGGTATGGCGCGCATTCATGGTACCATGGGTACTTATACGTCTATAGGTATATTATATGTATTTTGTATAGTCAATCGGTGTAGCATTGCGATGTTAATCTGATAAAAAGCCTTTGCTAACGGCCGTATCGATCATAATTCATAATTAATCGTTGCTACAGGGTGAGAATAATCGGATACTTATCTGCGCATTAAACAAATTTAATTAATATTAACGAGTTCTAAGTTCCTATCTGATAAAGCGATCTGGAATCAGTCGTAAGAATATTTGCAAAGGTCTTTTCAAAATGGTCAAACGCTCATTAAAGTTTTTTCTTTTCTTTTGATCGACCTTTGGAAATCTTCGTGATGGATCTCAATGAAAACTGCATTGTAATAGGTGGAAGTTTTAGCATCGTTTGAAGATTCGTGTCTTGATCTCTCATTGGAGTTTTCTTTGATTGAAACACATCAGTAGTAGCTTTTAATTCAATGTTATTATCCAATTTGATGTACATTTTAATAGGGAAAGACACTGCGCCAACTACAGACAAGATTACTTATACGGTGTATAAATTTGTCAAGGTTCGTCGCTTGACGCATCGTTGAAGTCTCCGCGCATTTTAACGAAAAATGCCTCATAATCGCCAAAGAATTTACTCCTATCGGTGACGTATTAATCTTTGTTAAACTGGTACATAATGAACATGCTTTTAAAACAATTATTAGGTAATGGATCCGTTAATTACCATATAACTGCAGCGTGTTTTGTCTGAAAGAATCAACTTTCAGTTCATTACCTTTTACAATTGGAACCTTTTTTTAATGGTCTTGCGTGGAATTGAAATCAAGTTTAATATTAATCAGCCAGAAACAATGCACATATTTACTGTTATTTATAAACAATTGAAGGTCTACAGAATTTAACTCAAAATAATTGTGCATTTGATATAGTTAAACGCATAAGTATTACCCGTTGGCAATTATTAAACAATATTTTACCGCTTTAACTACAACTAAGAAAGTATATTGAACAAACTATTGTTATTTAAATGTTCTAATGACCTTGCGTACATCGATTTTTTAATATCTGCGATAATGATAATGTACGATAATTAGAAAAATTATCGATTTTGACGCACACACGTTAGGTACGGATATTTTCAAATAAAATAAGTAAAATATTTTTTAATTCATGCTACACTAATATAATAAATGTTTGTTATACATTAGTTCGTTACATCCGATTATTTTAAATTAAAGAATTTTTTAAATATTTCGTTAGAAGCATGGTCATTATAGATCAAGTTTCTAAATAATACTTTTATCTGCATGGAAAGGGGATTGTTTTAAGAACATTGTTGGTTATTTTAGATCCCCCTTCAAAATATTGTAAGAAAATTGAATCCTCTGAAAGGACATAAGAAATAAGTGTTAAAGGAGTGTTAAAATTATTAATTATTGATTACACTGCTACTTAAGATTTTTCAGCCACGTGAGAACCACCTCCGCTAATGTTATTTACATGTGCATTATTGAAATAAATGGATAAACATTAATATTTTTTATTTAAAATATTATTATTCTGCTGCTTCTTATAAGAAATATTTTTTCGGTGTGGCGAACATTAGATTTGAAAAGGAAATGTCACTCTGCCATATGTGATGTTGGTATCAAAAAGTAAAGATTACAATCGATTAATACAAACAGAGATGTCTTTCTGTACACATATACATACATACATATACAAATGCTTATGTACATATTTTAAATCTGAAAATGTTACAATATTTATCAAAAAAGAACAGGACAAATGACAAACAGTTAACTATCGAATAGCTTATTTTTTGCAAATTCATCTCTTTATAAAATTGATTTTTACATCATGCTAATTTTGTTTTAATTTCTCTTGTTTTAGGAAATGTGTGCGGTACGACATCCTGTTGTAACTCAGCCTTAGAGGAGAAGTTTCTCAACAAAAGTCGAACGAATGTGGATGGTTTTGTAAAGGAGTCACTTCTACGCCTATCAACAATTTTAGAAACAAGAGCTAAACGTTTCGATGGTAAGTTACACGCTTTATATTTTTATCATTTGTTTGAAAAATGATAGAGAAATTTTATTGCTGAACCAAAAATAGAACAAAAGCAGATCTTAGTAAATGTAAATAATAAATAATTATCAAGAATAAAATGTATCGCACTAAAAATTTAGTGTTACCTATGTAATATATAGTTATTAGTTATTGTAATATGCATCTACTAATACAGGCGTGGTTGAAGAAACATACTTGATAATAATGTGATAGTTGGCAAGTAATTTGATTAAATACAAGTATTACATTGGACAAGGTGGTACAGCTTTGAATATGAGAGTTAAAGAACATGAATACGTTTTTTGCGTTAATTATACTCAAACGTTAAAAAGCAAAAAAGTTGGTACGAGTAAAAAGGCTCATATAGATCCACTGAATTTTGGAAAACACTTTAATTTTCCGTTCCCCGTTGCAACATATCTTTTTAATGGCACCACTTTCAATGTATGTTCCCTCTCTTCCCTGTAGAATTTCTTAACCGGTAGATAACAAGAGACGGTATTTAACTGTTCAACGGCATCAGAAGAAAAACGTCATCATCGCAGGATGCGCTGGCTGAAAAGCAAACACGATTGCTCCAGAAAAGCAAATAACAGATCTCATGTTTGTTTGCTTTTCCGATTCTAACAACAGACGAAACGACTCATCCGAGGTTTTTAAAAAAGCTTCTCAGTTAATAACACGATGTTACAACAACCTTGAGATACCTCTCTACAATTATCTACTTAAGACCTTTATAATATACCTAACCATCAAAGATTTGTTTGATTAAATAAAATGTGCAAATTCTATGGGAGGAATCAATCTTGGTTCACAAAAGCAAGTATTTATTGGCTTTAAATAAAATCGTAATTCATAATTGAGATTATTATGATACAAGCAAACAATTGAACCTTTTAAGACGTCTCATTTAATTCTTGTTCAGAAACTTGCGGTAAAACATCAGAAATCAATTCTTTAACGAAAACAACTTTATGAGCAGGCCTATCTGTGACGTATAAAAGAGATAAGCTGCTACAACTACTCGTATTAATAATAATAATGGTATAAGTTCTCAAATAATAATATAATCCACGGTAAAATTTGATGGTACATCATGTCTGAGCTCATCATCAAGTATCAATCAAGTTACTGTTAGTGGCCACCAACCAAAGGTATTGATTGATACAAAAACATATTAATAGACGAGTGGATGCGGACAGGAGTTTCGATCGAGTCCTGCTACTATTGTCTCGTTGGCAGCTCATGAACATTATGAAGATTGATGGCCTCTATTGTTTGTTGTTGCCTCTTTGAATATCTGTTCTATTTTCTTGACTCGCAAGTAGTGTTGCCCAAACGCAAGAACAAGACGAGACTTAGCCAGTCTTGGTCTTGGTCTTGCGCCAATACACCTGGTCTTGGTCTTGGTCTTGGTCTTGCGCTCCCAGTCTTGGTCTTGCAGCAAGAGTCTTGCAAGTCTTGCAATTACCTATTAGTCTATTACTATTTATTAAAGTTTACTTTAAATCCTAGAAAAACGTATTAGAATTGGAACATTGTGAGCTTGAATGAATATAGCCATAGTAAAGATCAAGCAGATTAATAAATAACTGAAGATTTGATAAGAAATTCGAAAAATCAAGTGACCTATATGTCGTTTTCCATGGAAGTAACTGTTTCTTAATAAACATTTATAATCCTTGCTTTCTACCGCGCCGCCTCGCCACGTGCCGGCTCTATGATAAGGATGCCGCCGCAAATCAAACAATAATATAAAGCGTGTAAAAAAATTCGAAATTATTTTGCATGAGTATACCTACACCCTATGGCGGCAATCAAATAGTGTCAAATGTTATGATTTCGGCGTGGCGGCAACGATTGTTTTAGATTTCAAAAGAAGCCGCCGGCGCGTGTATCATAACCATGTACTTCCGAAAAGCGGCAAATTTCTTTGAGAAGTAAGTACAAAACCTTTGATGCCGCATTATCAAAGTGCCGATGGTTAAAACATAACTATGCATGCACTCAGTTTGATTTTAATAATTTTTTTATTCGCTATGTTTATGGTATTAGTCGTAATGCGCATAGGTCCAGTTTTTCATATTCTTTGATACAGTTTTTTGCGTCTCATAGAATTCCTAAGCGTACCTACCTATACACCGAACTGTTACACCTAACTACTCAGTGAAATAGCGCTAAGTGCAAGAGTCTTGCAGGCTATGTCTTGTTCTTGCTCAAGTCTTGCACGGTCAGTCTTGGTCTTGGTCTTGCTAAAAATACGCGGTCTTGTTCTTGGTCTTGGTCTAGCAAAAACGCAAGAACAAGACCAAGACTGCAAGACCAAGACTGAATTTGGGCAACACTACTCGCAAGTAATGCGACGGATGTACGTCCCCTTTTATTATAATAATTATTGTTATGCGAATGGCAGTTACTATTTTACCTGCCTCGTTTTCATTAATCACAATATGTATCACTGGAAATAAGTATGTAAATTAATAGAATATGCATGAAGTTATTAAACAGATTGGTTCTAACTACGAGGTGGTCCAACGAAATGATTTTATTTTAATTGGAATGCATGGTATGCTGTTTTGATCAAAGCTGATTCGGTCGCTCATTGAAATTTATACCTTGAAATGGAATGAATAATTGAAGATTAATGCCTTCAGTGAATAGATCGATATTACAGACGACATTTTAAAGTCACTGCTAATTTTAATTTCGCAAAAACTAGAACATTTTTAAATTTACAAATTCAAATTTATGATCATATTTTTACATTATATGAAGTTTATAAATTCAGTTAAGCAATTTTTTGTCATAAAATAAAATTGTTTTCGCTCTATAATATTTAAATATGTTAATGCTTACCCTAGATGCGAACTTGGAGAAATTTAAAATCAAGGAAAGAACTCTAACAGAATTTCGATTTCTTTTCCTTTAATTCCCTAAATTCCTATGAGACCACGTAGACACGAATTACACCAGATTAAGAATTGATTAAATCAGTAAATATAACTGCAACTGTAGTACGTCGACCACACTCATTCTTGATTTAATGTAACATTTGAATTAATGTTGGATCATCAGTTGCATAGGTTGTGATGAACAAATTTTTCGAATTGCAATACAGGCAATGTGAATCAACCAATCAGCCCGTAAATAGGCATAAGAAATGTACATATTTCAACAACTATTTACGAGCTATTCCAGTCAATTGAAATCTTCAAGCTCTTGACTGTGAAAAAGACATTGAAAACGCAATAAACGATTTCAATAAATTATTATCGACGCAACACGACATCAACACACACGTACAAGACACAGACGGTCTACGATCAAAGTGGCAATATCTTCGCCAAGAAAACAATTAAATTGCGCACGGTTGCTAAAGGATTTACGCTGTTCATATTTTATGCAGATGAAAATGGCCGGTTACGTGTTCGTTTATGCATCCTCTTACATTAACGGATAAAGGATGGCGTCAGTATCTTTTTGCTCGATGCCTGGTTTATTTTCTATTCTAACAATAACTTGTCCAGCGGGAGTTGTAAAGATTGCTTGCTGCTGTTTTATTTTTCAAATGCTTGTTTCGTAGAAATAAACTCTGGGCAAGTTCGCGTCTTGTAAATCAACTTGGAATAATAAATCTTTTCGAGTTTATGGAATTTATAAACGTCCGTTTTCAGAAATAACTAGCCAACAAACAGAAACGCAACAGACATAATCAATTCTTGTTGTTTATTGAACGGTATTAATGTTTAATTATCTTGCAAAAGTAACGCTTGATGTATTAATTTTCTTAAAAATGCAAAAGTTAACCCTTGATACAATTTTTCAATTCTGGTATAAATTTGCTACAATGGGTCTTATATTTGTTTCAGAATTCTTCAGAGAACTTATGGAAAATTCGAAGAAAGAATTCCACGAAATGTTCAAGAGAACATATGGAGTAATTTACCTCCAAAACTCCTTTGTATTTACCGATTTCTTTCAAGAGCTTGAAAACTACTATGCTACAGGTCGAAATCGACTTTCTGATGTTTTAGATCAATTTTTTGGTTTATTATATCAACGCATGTTTGTAGTGATAAATGGCCAGTACACATTCTCGGAGGACTACCTACAAGTAAGTAGATGACGACTATTTTAATCCTGTTCAAGTAAATAATTTAATTCTGGAATCCGTTTAAACGACAATTTTTTCTTTCGTAACAGTGTGTGAATGAGCACATGGTAGAACTGGGTCCATTCGGTGACGTGCCTCACAAACTAGGGGTTCAGCTCAGAAGAGCTTTCGTAGCAACTCGTGCATTCCATCGAGCTTTGGTTGTAGGGGCCGATGTGGTCAAGAAAGCTGCATACGCGTATCCTGGTGCGGATGCAGAATGTGCGGCTTCGATGACACGTATGAAATACTGCGCCACTTGTCAGGGTTACATTCCTCCTCCTGCAACTTGTTCTGCATTTTGTATTCATACTCTTAAATATTGTATGAAAACGTTAGATGTTTTAGACAAGCAGTGGGATTTGTATGTTGGTAAGTTAATTGTAAATCATTTGATAATTTATTGTAATTTATACAGTTGACACGTCAACATGATCCCATATTGCAACAGTATTAGTCGTTCTGATGCGTTAGCACACCGCTACGCCATCTATGGTCAGAGTTATTAAAGTACTAAGGCGCTCGGCGTACTGCCGAAAACCGAAATAGCTTCTGAGTGATACACGGTAGCACTGCTGCACGACAGCAAAATAATTAAATTCAACATTAATATAGAAAATTTACAAAAAAATAAATTTATAATAAATTGTTTTAATTGAAAATATGTTTATTACCCTATAAAAAATAAAATATACGAGACTAGAACGAGAATATTTATCGATGTAATTCAGGTATGTTTCGGTTGTTGTTGTTCAACTCATTTTCCACTTTGTATTATCATTGCGGAAAATCGCAAGCAGTAAATTTCCCAAGAGCGTACTAAACGTAATTTAGAGCGCCCATTAAGATTTCCGGATTTGGTGTTTCGTGGACACAGTTGAGCTCACTATCTTTTTTTTTACCCGTCACCGCGTGTACGTATTGACGTGCCCGATGAAAAAATGTATCGCGTGTGGTGTTCTGCGAGCCTGTAAAATTCCTTGTTGGATAGCAGCGACCGGTGTGCCACGTAGGTATCTATACGTGCCGTAGGAGTTGTAAGTAGGTGAACTTTCTCATTAAAAAAAAAAAGTAGTTGGCTCTTCAAGCCGGTGTCTCTATGTGTGCTCTCTGGAATGAAATGTAAACACTTGTTTTGCGTGGACGTCCTTGCTTTCTACAAATAAGGGGCCTGGCTTAATCAGGGCTTTTACATCCAATGTAAAGGACTCCGGCAATTTTCTCTTTGTACTTTCTTTTCCGTCTGGATTTGCCGCAACAGACGGGATTGTCTGCGAACAACTTTAATCTTTAAAATGTACCTTTTCTCATTCTCGAAATATGACCATATTCATGGTCTTCGTGGTCACTCGGGCCTAAAGAAATATCTTCCTGCAACTGCTGCACTTAAAGGAAATATTATGATTGATTTGATACTACTAATATAAGAATGCTGGAAGAATTTACTATGATCAGAGCAATTTCTTAGCGGTCTTAAGGATTTTACCGACCATGAATTCCATTAGGAAAACCGATTTTCATGAGTTTTTCGTTCAGCCTGATGTCCTATGATCTGTTAGTAAATACTAATTTACATAGATTAACCTGATATTTGCATACTTATGGAAGTTGTTAACGACGTATTTGTATTTACTTTTAATGTAGATTTTGGCCCCATTCCTTTGGATAAGGATTCTAGAAGGACTCTCTTCCCATAAAAGGAACTCTTATCTCATTAACTTTGAGACAGTACACCTAGGTTTGAAGTAGTTCAAACCGAGATTCAGAAAATAAAAACATTTAAAATCTGTGATTATGATGAACATAAACATACATAATGAACATTCTGCAGGTATATACTGACTACAGTATGGTTTTAAAGTTCGCATGAAAAATATGTAAATTAAAATTCTTTGGAACTTAATGAATTTCGTTTTTATCATTCCAATCCGCTTTGCAATAACCTGAATATAAAATAATTATGGTATTATTAAAATTGTTGGATAAAAAGCGTCTGTTGCAAATTGTTTAACGAGGTGTCTGGCATAGAAGGCGTCACATACCTTTGAAAACCAGTTTTTATTAATTACACCGAAATCACGTTTGGCTTTTATCAGAGAATCTCAACATCTATCTCACTTCTCATAATGAGAATATCATAATATGTGAATGTAAGAATTTTATGCATGTGAACGAGATTTAGTACTTGCTAAAAACCTCTACCTAAATACCTATGTAAATGTAAATGAACCTGCGAACAAATCTGTCAGCCCACTCTTTTATATCTACACGGGTACAAACTCAAATTGCTATTAAACTCAGGTGGGTCAATTTTGCCGGTTAAACCTTCCAAGAGAAAGGTACTGATTCATTGCACCAGCACTACTGCACGAAATCAACTAATCCTAGAAATATTTGAAATTTATTATTAGGTACGGTCGTGGTATGTTTGCTTGTTAACCTAAATAATCATTAATGGTAAATCATTCTGATGTGCAAGCAAATACAATAATAATAATACACAGATACGGTCGAGTTGATTTGTAGAACATTCTCATACCAACTAATTTTCTTATCCTTCGACACCTAGTAAGAAAAGTATCTACAGCAAAATTGTGTTTGATTCTGGGTCCTGTAATTTTTTTGCGTCAATTACTGGGCAAATACCAAAGTAGTAATATAGATAATCTTTCACATTTCTTGTGTTTTCATCCGTCTCATTTTCCGCACTTCAACCAATTCCGACGGTTCCTAAAAGGAAAATGAAGAGGGTCTTCCGCCCTACTCTTCGGCTTTGTACTAATCAGTAAGTCGGAGGGATTCCCCACCCACCAGCGTTTGTAGATTTTTTTCGATGAGCAAAGACATTTGCTTGTGCAATTCGTACATGCCCTACCAAAGCTTCTCGCGGAATAGACAATACAGTTGATCGTCGCCTCAGGAGAAAATATTTGTCAACCGAACTGCCTTTGATGGCAAGTTGAGTGCGCATTTTTCCGACTATATCATCAATCAAAGGTGACATGTTTTCAATTACTGGTCGACCAAATAAAAGTCGTGCATCGTTAATTTGACAGTTAATGACGGAAAACCAACGGAAAAAGCTCCAGACCAAAGCACCAACATTATATCGAGATCATTCATTAGTTATGCGGGAAAAACGGTTCTTATTATCGATAAATTCATATCCACTAAAAGCCACCGCCTACTTAATAAATTCTATGTAACTGTAAATGAAAAATAACTTCATTTTTAAGTTAAATGTATAATGGCTTACGAAATTATGTACATTAACTGAAATATTTCAAGTCAAGTTTCAAGGTAAAACGGTAATTGAAATACTAAGCACGTCTTCCTATCTTAACATTTTCATTTATTGCTTATAACTGTTACGAATCCTATTTTGATTTACCAATGTTATTTGTTTATTAATAAAAGTACTCTTCATCTTCTTTACAGATGCATTAGATAAAGTAGGTGATCGTTTGTTAGGGCCGTTCAATATAGAAATGGTAGTAGAGCCGATAAATATTAAAATTTCTGAGGCAGTGATGAATTTTCAAGAAAATGGCGCTGAAGTTTCCCAAAGGGTTTTCACCGGCTGTGGAAAGCCGGTTGTTAACAGGCGGAGACGTGATGTAAAAAGTTTTGAAAATACAACTAGTGAAAATATCACCATTTCTTCCAATAGCAGGTAAGATTCAAATTTTTTTTTTCAAATTCATTAATTTTCGCGTACACAGTGAAAATAAATAAATAAAAGATTCTCTCAATTTTAAATATGGAATTTTCATGAATGGAAATTTTTATCTTCTTCTTTTCTCTAGTTAAAACTGATAATCATGTGAAGGTATTAAGAAAAACACATTTCCCTAACTCGAACTTCCTAAATGTTCGAGTCAGAAAATATTCAAGCTAAAGTAAATTTTTGCTTTACCATTACACTTTCTTGTTTTGAACGCATCGCTTCTACGTATATTACTACTGTTGAGCCCAATATCGCTAATAAATAACTAAAATACTTCGTTTGTGTTGTATTTTCCTACTGTAACATTTTAATACTAATTTAGCGGTTTTCTTTTTGAAGTTTTCCATAATATAATATTAAGTGTCATATTGAAAATTTATGCTGATTTTTATTAGCATAATGGATTTGTTTGTGATAATTATCGTATTAAATTTAAATTTGGTGGAGTCGCCGGGTCGATTAATAATTTTTGTCTTCTAATTTGAATGAGCAGTACCTATATCAAATATTTTCCAAATTCTTTTTTTTTTTCGTGTATTGTGTCGTAATCATGGGTAGTAAAAAAGTAAAATTTTTATTGTTTAGCAGTGTCGAAGTCAATAACAATAACAGTACAGCCACTAGTACGAGTACAACCGAGATAACTCTACAAACATTGAAGTTTAACAACGATAACAACAGCAGCAACAACGGCAAAAAGAAACGGAAGAAAGTTATGGAGTCAACTACAGAAAGCGGAAACGAACCCTCGCTTGACAAGCTCATCAAAGACATTAAACAGGTGAGGATGATGTTTCAGTTTATCTCTTTTTGTTTTTATTTAGCTCGAGCACACGCCTCTCTCGCAACTGGCATGACGCTAATCTGCTGTTTATTGTTTTTAATATTCAATAAAAACATTATTACCTCATAAAATTAAACCGAAAGGAAGTGCTACAGGTATTTTCTTTATAAGCGGTTTATTATTTAGTAAATTTATTAAACTTCATAACGAGTAAAACGTTTTCTTGCTTTATCCAGTTTTTTTTCCATTTTCAAACTACCTCTCGTGATTCTTTGTGCTAAAATTGAATTGTTAACGAATAATGAACCAAAATGTTGGTTCGTTGCTCATGTCTATCTGTCTGTTTGAGCCAGTCAAGGATAAATACTCGAAAAAGGAATGGAAAAGCATGCTCGCAAAGAAAATTTCTAGTTATTTGTATATTAAAATTAATGCAGCAGTGTTAATTCTAAAGAGATTATTATAGTTCGAATTAAAAAAATGTAATTTCTTAACTATACTTTACTTAATCATATTTATTTTCAATCTAATTGTGAAAAAGAATTTTCTATCTGTCTGTTACTAAACCGATTTTAGTGAAATGTAACAGAGAAAATATTTTAAAGAAAAACAGATTACTAAATCCACATTGACAGAAACTGATCATGCTACCTAAATATATCATAATTTGAGCAATCTTTTATTGTTTCTATTCCTAATGTTACAACTATTTAGGTATCAAATTTTTTTCGCAAGAAAAATTGTAAAAAATCGTCTCATTGCGTACCTATTAAATTATCCTGAACCAACAAAATTTTAAAATTAATTCCTTTATAAAACTTGCAGTAGTATGCGATATGCCTCTATGACCTGTGATATACCTATATACGTTTGTTAGAATCAAAAAATTACGGTAGGAAAAGACAACACAAACGAAGTGAACGGAGATTTGAAAATATTTGCAGGTAGACCGCATACTAAAGTAATGTGTAGGTACAACAAAAATCTACAATTTTTGAAAAAGGGTTGCAGATCAGGTATTTCTTAATTACTTTAAGGTATTTTTGAACAGAGGTCAAGATCCGAGGCATTATACATATAAAAACTTTATGACATATGATGAACGTAATAAACACCCTGAACCTGACCCCCTATAACGTGACGTCTGTCTTATAACAGCGACAAGAACGCTCGCCAGGTACGTGTTATAAATATGCCTGTAAAACGGTTGGGGTCAGGATGTTTATAACATGCGGAGACGGCTTCCGACGCCTGGCACTCGACTTCTCGTGTTTCCTGTTTCGAAAACAGGCAGCGAGCACGAGGTCGATAGAAAAAAAAAACGAATTCTAATTAGCAGTCCTAACTAATTATTTATTGTAAAATGAAGTCAAGCGATCATCGGTTAATAACTTAATTGGTAAATGACAGCCTAATTTCTCAACATGCTTTTGGCGAGTTTAACCAAAACAAGGGAGAAAAAAAGGGAACATTCAAACTGTTCTTATAAAATATATATACATTGGAATCCGCTTATAATGACATCGAACGGAAATGACAAACACGTCGTACTAAGCGGACGTCATACAAAGCTTAGTCTTAGAAAATAAACAACTTTCTATTTTGGTTAGTTATTTAGTTTAATAGAGAGAAAAACTACAAATTGTATATATTTATTAACAGAAAAAGAAAAAGAACGATGAATTGTAATATCGATATACATAAGAAGTGCCAGAAAAATAAGCGAAAATGTTATTATTAATCATTTGGGTCACTATAGCCGGATATGATTTCTAGAGAATCAGTCATAATAAACTATGTGTCATTTTAAACGGAGTCATTATATCCAAACTTTCCTATAGAGAATTTAATATGAAAACCAAACTTAACATTGTAATTACTTCATATTAAGCGGTTGGTTAATATAGGCGGAGTCATAATAAACGAATTCCACTGTACGCACCATAACGAAACTTTCATAAATGTATTTGATTAGGTACTTGAATCGCTCGGAAAATTTCTCATTGTAAAAAATCAAGTAATACTTAATTAATTCTTTTTAATGATTTAAAACGTTTGCTTGAACAACAACTGAGTTTCCAAATACAGTCTACTCTTTTATGAGAAATGCTTCATTTTAGCTAACGAAATTTAAAGAACAAAATTACATTCCATTTAAACACGTATTATTCATGCAAGGATTTTTGAATATAACGAACACATTTACAGCGTACGATCGCTTTTAGAGAACGTTTTTGATAGAGAAATTAGCAGGTCCAATCAGTTATAACAAACTAATATTTCTTTCTAAGATCGGCCTAACCAATTTGGGCGACTAAAGCAGATTTTTTACCGTTTCCTTTCGGAATAAGTTTTATTTTTACGCAATGTTTTTGTATTTCTGAAATAAATGCATTTTATAAAAGTTGGCGATTTTTTTAATTATCTAAGGTATTAAAGAAAATTGCCAACAACAAACACCCGCCAATAACTAACAAAATTCATAGCTCCTTCGCGTTCGTTATAACCGAGTTCGATTGTACTTTCTTTATACGCATGCTTTACAAAAAGCTTTCTAAACTTAATCTACACAAAAATATTCAAAAATTAATTAGTGCAGCTATTAATGATTGATGGCATTTATTATTAATCTTAAAATATTGCCATATACTGGTAAATATAGTTCCATTATAAAATAAAGCTCAACTTACACTAATTTAAATCTCTTTCCATCAATTTTTCTCCACGTATGAATGCATTTTCCATTATAAAACTTTTGGAGAAATCGTTATGGCATTATTATTATTCATATTGGCATTTATGAAATTGTTCCATTCTTTTGAAAATTATAAACTAAATATGCACATCATCATAGCACAAGAAATGTTGCTGAATGTATAATTTTGGGTGCGTTCTCTTGACGATGAAAATAAAATGAATCTTGAAAAGAACAACTTCAAATTATTTAGTCAAAAACGAAACATTTTTACAAAGATTACCATTTCACTTACCATGTACCATAAATTACCAACTGAGATCACTGTATGACACCGTTAGACCGTTACCCCCGAATAATAAACGCTTAATGTTTTCAAAAACCAAATCAAAGTGCGAAAATTACAACTTGACTGTCTATTATAAATACACAGTCCAGAAAAATCATTTTTTTAAGAGTTTTCTTATCATTAATTTGTGAATAGTTTTGAACGCAATTTAAAGTTAGAAAACTGAAATTTAATAAAGAAGGCACTTACATGTAAAAATCGAAAAGTCTCTACTGCCTAAATTTACCTGAAATAAGTAAACGAAAATAAAATTAATTACAAGAATAATTATACATAAAACAATCAAATGTACAACAAGAAAGGAGAATGTAACCTTTTATTTTATTATATTATAAAATTACGACAAAGCAGAAAAATATAATATAAAATTTAATTTTACAAATGGATAATATTAAAACATCAAATACGTAACAACACTGACTGAAGATGAAGATTAATGACTGAAGAAAGTTGGTTTTTTAATCTATATCTACATAAAATTACAAAATTTATTTCCAAAGATCGTTTCTTTTGATTAAAAAATTAATACTCATTACTCTGTAGAATGAGCTTGGTTTTGAAAATACGCCTTTATTTGAGTAAAGGTAACTTCAAATAAGATTAACGTTTATAATTTTCATATATATTTACATTATTAACTCCAATTTCTCTTAAATAAATCAATAGTGCGCTGAATAACATGTTGAAAACACAAATATTCTCTAAAACTTTTCTCAACCATTTGTAATTTCTCAATTAAGAATATCTGCATTTTCACTAAAAAAAAAAATTAAATTGAGGACTTTTAATAATTTAGTCTCCATATCATTTTATATTTGAGTAAATTCTATGTTAAGAGGTAATAATAAGAGAAGTTACTTAAACATATCTATAGTTAATTAAAGCTATATTAAGAAGGAATGCGTATGCATGAAAAGTAAGTCTCAGTGTTTTTATTTTAACCTTTATATTCTTTTACTTAACTATATATTACATACAACGCACAAATTGAAATTAAATGCCATTTTTACCTTTACCGAAGATTGCATTCGGAAGCTCGTCAACATCTACCATTTGATTGTAACATCAAAAACAATTCACTCATTCACTTATTAACAACACAAAGTCATAAAACAGTAGCAACACTACAGCACGAAATCAAGGATACTTTACCGCACCAGGATGAATAACACTTCTGTCTGAGAGCCTTGTTAACACGATATAGACTGAACTATTGTAAATTACTTCATCGTTTTTACTTCTTCTTTTATCGGTTAATGTGGTAAAGTTGCACAGTTATTTAAAAAAACATCTATAAAAAGCGGCCCTAGATCCTTATCGCGCATCTATTAATAGAAGAGGTGGAGTCAGTTCGTACTTTCACTTTATGCACGATAACAATGTATGTTAAAGATGATTTAGGATTTCTTTTATGCACATTTAAAAAATGCCGAACAAGTGTGATTTTGACTCGCACACGATACTTTATTGAATACATTCTTAATATTTATAACAATTTAGAAAGCTTTTAATTTCTACAATCCATTGAATTAAAATAAATATGTACAAAAGTCTATGTAGGTGAATTGTTTTAGATTGTATGACCTGCAAATTTCGCGGATAGTAATATACTTTTAGCAATAGATCAATAAATGTTTAGAAATTCGCAAGCAGTCCTTTGTTTGATTCACTACTTGACCTACTGTTAAATTAATATCAACCCCTTTATAAAATAAAGTTTGAAAACTTTTTGTAATGGCAGAGATGTGCAAAATGGTTTTTTAAAAGTATTTAAATACAAAATGCAAATACTCTTTTGATTTGCTATTTCAAATGTAAAATACTAAATAGATTTCCCTTTTGTATTTTAAATGCTAAATGCNAAATGCTAAATGCAAAATACGTATTTTCAAAATATTTTCTTCAAATAAATACTTTTTTGTAGTACTTATTTAATTTTCTACAATTAGTTAAGTATAAAATATTTTTTAAGAAAACCTTGCAGGCATTTTTTCATTTTTTAAATATTGGAATTTTTTTAGACTAGACTTCTGTTGGCATTATATCATCATTTGCGAAAATTGAGTATAGTATGATTCATATATTTCTGTTTGAAATGATTGATATACAGTTTTTATATCTTTATGTTATACCTTTGTCACACGTTTTAATTGGAAAAAAGGCACTGATGCCAAAATAGTTTGTTTACCGTAAAAGATCAGAGCCAAAAGAGGGTTGCAAATAATTTTATTGATGTAAAATCAACATCAATCATTTTATATCAAAATATTTACAACCCCCTTTGTTTCCTATCTTTTACACATTGTAATAAGAGAAAGAAATGGAATCCATAGTTTCTTTAGGTTTAGATTCATCAAGTAATTTTTTCAAATCGTTTTCTAAGAATTTTGGATTATAGACATTTATTAGCACACCACAATATCTTCTAGTTTTCAGTTTTACACAACTGGTGTATATCAATTTGATATTGTTTTGCGAACTATTTTGTCGTAATTCATAGAATTTCGTAGTTTCTTACTAAAGGTACGAAAAGTGGTGATTTGGCAGGTGCTGATATCAATTTGGAACTTCAAAATTTCATGGACCATGACATTGAATCCGAAAAACAATATCGATCCAATATTTTAGTTTATCTACTTCCAAGGAATTTAGAATTTTTTGGGCTGTCTTCACTTAAAGAACTAGAAGGCATTCAGGGAATGTTTCTTTATCCCGTTTTTAAGCTTCTATGCCTTCAAAGGCCATTGTGACCAACTTTCATTCACCATTTTATACAATGTTTGATGGGTGATACTAGCAAAACTTTTAACGGCAAAAATGTATTTTGCATTTTACGAATAGAAAATACGTTTGGAAAAGTATTTTAAATAAAATAAAATAGCAAAATACTTTTCTCAAATAAGTATTTAAATGCAAAGTAAAAATAGGTATGTTTTTATTTTGTATTTGCATCTGAAATACAAGTATTTCAAATAAATCACATCTCCGTAAATAAGTCGATTGCAGAAAATAAATTGCTTATTAAGTCTTGTATTCTTTTGCAGAAAGTGAAAGACAGTCGCCGATTTTGGACGCACCTTCCTTATCAATTCTGCAACAGCGAACAGGACATAGCAGGTCCAAGCGTTAACGCAACATGCTGGAATGGCACCGCAATAGGACCTTTTAGTGCAACCGAAACAAATGTTCGTCCTCCTTATTCTGAGATACAGAATTTACCCTTTACGCTTCAAACTATTGTTACTAAACTGCAAGCTGCCTTTCAGGGGCAAGACGTTGATCTTGCCGACGAAGACGCTGAAGAACCTATTCTGCAAGAAAGCGGTTCCGGGTCTGGGGACTACGATGATCTTGAAATTGAAGGCAAGTATTGAAGCTACTTGATACCAAAAGTATAATAAAATTGTCATAAAATTATAATGTTCTTATATTGAGTAGGTTTTTTTCTAAAGATCAGTACTTCAATTTTCGTTTAATGATTAATTAATTTACTAAATAATTTTAATTGCTTTGTTTTAGGATCTGGATATCAGCCAGTAAACCCAGGGGTGACAGAAAAGGTACCATCTGGAGTGACGCAACCTCCAGAGCCTCCACCACCAATTATTCCAAAAGAGGACGAGTCAAATGTATATACACCAAAAGTAACAGCAAGTGCCGCGTCTTTACATAAAACGCTCCTGCATTTTCTTCTACCGCTCGTCTTTGCCTGGTTTGGAGGTTTACTATCTGACTTGCTGCAACTGTGATAGAACTTTTTTTTATTGTATATTATTTGTAAATATAGTTACGTACGATGATGCCTTGGAAAACTGACTACACTTCAGTGCCATAATATATAAAAGAAAAACAATTTAAAGAAAAAGAAAGAGAAAGAGAGAAAGAAAAACACTTCTCGAATCGTCTAGTTAAAAAGTATGGCTGTCGAAATAATAAGTGCGTGATGAAACTCTTAATAGTAAAAATGAAGAGTGCATTAAATGTAAAGCTTGTAAAATTGTAAAAATTGTAAACTGTACACTTTGTTCAGTTACTAACTATCTAATACAAACTAAGAACATCTGAAACGAAGTCTTGTAGTAGAATATATAGAAACAGTTCTATTATTTGTAATAAGCACAGTGTAAGATAATTTAAAATGGGAAAGACTGATTTCTAAAATGTAATTGAGAAAATATAGAACGAACATTATTTCACCACTAGAGAAAAACAAATTTAACAACCATGGGAAATAAATAAACGTTATTAAATTTTTCCGGCGTTTTCTTCGCTGTAATTTCTGTGCTACATCTATATACCAATAGTTCAATAGCTACTATGACGTTGTGTCGGCCATCATTTTTTTAATTGTTGCTGTTGTCGGCCATCATTCTTTTCTAATTGTTGCTGTTGTCGGCCATCATTCTTTTCTAATTGTTGCTGTTGTCGGCCATCATTCTTTTCTAATTGTTGCTGTTGTCGGCCATCATTCTTTTTCAATTGTTGTCGCATTGTCACTAATGTCGACCATTATGGTTTTTAATAGATGTATAGTAATCAATGTTTAAAATTTAAAAGAATTATTTGTAAATAGGCATGCAACACATCGTACACTTCAGCATAAGAAATTGCTGATACTACGTAATACTATTTTGCCCTGTGCTGACAGCACTCAATTTCTTTTATATATAATATTACTGGGGTAAACAAAGAACGAGACCAAAATATACCTTTGAAAAATGTATACTTTCATCTTTTAATATGAAGTACAAACTATAACACTAAACAAATCACTAAGCAGTAATAGTAAAATTTATTTATAAAAATAAAACATTTATTGTAACAATATTTAGAACATGATTTAAGCATTAATAAATGCATAGATTGTTGAGTTCAGTCGACGTAGCCTTTTGGCCTGGTTTTAATGTATACATATGCTACAATGAAGAGAAACACAGCAGCTATGGTTGGAAGGGCTATCGTAAATACCTAAAAAAAATACACCATTTATAACGAACCTAGTTATTAATTTGAAGGTGAAAATAAGCTAACAAAAATACCACAAACTATACATAACTTACCTTTCTTTTTAGTTCTTGGAATTCCTTTTTGCGTAATTTTTTTTCTCTACTAGACTCTTTCGGTTTTCCTTTCAGCTGTCTCATTTTGCACCTTAAAGCAAGTTTCAGAAAACTTTTAATTAAACTAATGTTAGAAATAGGACAAAACTACAAAAATATGTTATGTAGAACCTACACACCTATGTCAAAGCTCGACTTTTATTTTATAAATATGATAGGTTAGAAATGCACCGACTATAGACAACAAATGTCTGGATGTACACGTACACCTACACGTATTCACTATACTGTTATGCCACGTTGCCAAACCAAAGACCATAAAATACACAGTAGGTTTTAAAATGTTTATTTTATTTTATTAAATATTGACATCATAATTTTAAAGTTTATACTAATCATTTTTGGGATAAACAAGTACCATCAAATTAATACAATTCTGAAAATTTCAGATCTCCAATAAACTGATCAAAGGAATATTTTGTAATACATTATTTTCATAAATAAAATTGTTGTAAATATTTAAATTTCATAATTAACTAATATTTAAATACGTTGCTGAAGCATTTCTTCGGGTAAATTGTAAATATTCAATACTGCAGTTGGATAAAACTGTTGGACTGCAGCAACTTCTGCTAAATTTGTTTGAGGTGGTTCAGCAGTAGAAAAGTGGGGAGATGCCAATACGGTCCCAGGAGGATTCTTTTGGGGCATCCCAGTAGGGGGTATATTTTGGGGCTTACGAACAGTTACACTTGTATTAATGCCATGCCGTCTTTTCATATGTTTATTATAATTGGGCCAATTGGTGAAATGGTGCTGACACTCTAAACAAGAATAGGGACGTTCCCCAGTATGCTGACGCCTATGAGTCGTTAAAATGCCTTTAAATCTAAACGCTTTCCCGCAAAATTCACAGGAATAAGGCATGGCACCGGTATGTATTCGTAAATGCTCTCGTAAGGTTCCTTTTTCCCTAAACTGGCGACCGCATTCTTCACACTGATACGGTTTTGCCCCAGAGTGAACCAAAGAATGCTTTTTTAATCTTACAGAAGTCTTGAACGTCTTTCCGCAAATGATGCAAGAAAAGGGCCTGACCGCTGAATGTGTAAGCATGTGATTGTCCAAATTACCCTTTTGAACGAAACTTTTACCGCATTGATCGCATGTATAATCCCGCACGCCTGTATGTATTCGTCTATGAGCGAGAAGGTTGGGCCTTGTCCCGAACTTTTTGGGACACTGATCACACTGATGGCGATTTTTTAATTCTGCAGGCAAATGCGAACGCAAATGTGTCGCAAGTGAAGACTGCACGCGAAAACGTTTACCGCAAGTCGTACAACTTAGAGGACGACCATCACAATGTGCTGCGTTTCGATGTTGATCTAAGGCTGCGGTTGTTCCAAACCACTTCATACATGTTTCACAACAGAAACGAAGGCTTTGGCGATGGGCGCGTACATGTGCCGCAAATGGAGACAGCTTGGTATATATTTTGGGACAATCGACGCACCGATAATGTACCGGTCGACTATGATGAGATAAAAAATGTTGCTTTAATTCGTAAGAATTTGGCATTTGTTCGTCACATTCGCTACAACTCCATGGATAAGCATCCCAACCATCCACTGTTCCATTTGGAAAAGTAACACTCCCATCTTCATGCCATTCTGCTTCTCTCACATCTAGAATGTCGACACTGAAAAGATCTTTGCGATTATTCTTTTTTTTTGGAATGACTTTACGGCCCTAAAAATGAATGCTATATATAAAATACACCCAAATGAATTATAGCTATTATATGTATTACATCACTATCAGCTGATACAAACAAGAAATTTCTTTTATTAGTTTTGAATTGTTTAAGCTCAGTGAGAGGTTTAATTAAACATAGCTTAGACAACTGTTTATTATTTGAAATGAGCGATATGTTCTTTACATCTCACAAGGATTGATCTTTCTGTTTGCCCAATATAATGTCATATCAAATTTCATAAATAATTCTCTTCAATTTTCATTATCTTTACTGAGCACCCTTTTTAAATTACTTCCAGTATAATAAATTCTTTCTAACTAGAGTAAGAAACTTCCTGTTTGTTATTTTACTCTCCACAGTCATCATTTTTCTTAATTAACTAATACAAATAAAAGTATGAAATATACATTTATGTGAGAAAGCAAATGTACCCCTAACATTATTGAGATAACATTAGTATTAAAATTACCTCACAATAAATGTGTTGTTTGTTTACCTTATTTGTCTTTGAAATTTTGATAGTAGATATTGTATTATTAAATACAGTTTGTGAATTTATGTTGGTGATTGCTTCATTAACTATTACTGTACTATTTACTGATGTTGGTGGGTATAAATCTTGTTTAGAAACGGTTTTTGAACACGGGGCATTCTTTTTATCAAAGGTTTCCTGTTTGTTTAAATGTTCATTTAGAAATTGTTGAGCATGTTGTACTTGTTGATGAAACTCCCACATATTCAAAACATTATTTCGACACGCGCAACAAACTGCAACTGGAAGATGATCTTCTGAATTAATATTTACTTGTAATAAATGCAATATTTTTGAACGAGTATCCATTTCTTCCAAAACAGTTATTAAATCTTCTTGAGGAAGAGCACATAACCTGCATAAAGTCTCCATCCCATTACAGTTTTATTAAATAATAGAGGGTCAATTTCTATAATTAATTGTACCTATAATTAAAGCAATTAACAAGCTATTGTGTATTATTTTCATAACGTCGTTGTTTACCACTTATTACTATCATTATATCAATTACAACTGCAATCAAAACTATCAACTATCTATCAACAGTGCTATCAAAACAATGATCAGGGGCAATTTTAGCAGAATGCAAAATTTTTACTGGGTTGTATGTTGGGTTGCCTCCATGAGCTGTCAAGAATATTTACAAATAACTTTAATAAATGACATTTAATTCAATGATGGAATCATTTCTAACCTAGTATTTCAATAAGTGAAATGCATTACGTGTAACCGAATCAATTACTGAATTATTTTACAAAATAGAAGAGATAAATGGATTTACTATATAATCAGACCAATAAATTAATTCAGCAAACTCAAGAAAGTTTTCAAACATTAGAAAGATATTGCCCTGCACCTGACGAAGTTGAATCAGATATACAGGAAAAAATAACTACAGTTCAAAAGTAATTAAAATTGAATGCTATGAAATGCTGTTACTTTATATTTGTTATATTTCTGTGTTACAGAAACTGTGAAAAGCTAGATACGTTATTATTTAAAGTGCCTTTACCCCAAAGACAAAATGCAAAATTAAAGTGTGATCAATTGAAATATGACTGCAAACATCTTCAAGCAGCTTTGACAGCTTGGCGACATAAAAGAGCTAGACAGGAACTGTTGGCTAGTGAAAGAAAGGAATTACTTAATCATAGATTTTCTCCAAATCCTGATGCAACAACTATAACTATGGATTATGCAATACAACAACAAACTTCATTACAAAATGCTCACAGGGGTATAGATGAAATGTTGTACACTGGAGCTGGAACTTTAGAATCTTTACAGTCTCAAAGGATGACTTTAAAAGGTGCACACAGAAGAATCATGGACATGGCAAACACCTTAGGACTAAGTAATCATACATTAAGATTGATTGAAAAAAGGGCAGCTCAAGATAAATATGTTCTTTTGGGTGGTATGCTTTTCACACTTACAATTATAGGCTTAGTTATTGTTTATGTTGCTTGAATTTAAAGGTGCTTAGAGCATTCTTTGTATTAATAATTACAAAAATACCTACTTTAATTTTGTTCACATTCCTGATTTTAAGTATTTAATATACACTGTTATTTTAATTTCTAATATACACAGAAAACTGCATTTCAGTCTTTTTATTTTGGTTCTTTATCTTAAAATTAAAACACATGGTATCAGATTATAATATATTTGCAAGTTAATATCAAACAAAAACAACTTATTATCTAAAAATTCACATTTTTTGTTTATAAGATGTATGTTTGTACGTTCCAATTTATTTTGTAACTATTTAAAAAATTATACAGTAATAATAGATAATGGTTTATAAAAACCATCATCACCCTTACTAGATATCAGGGAAAGATGAATAGAGTCAAAATCACAAATTCCAAAATAATAATCTTTGTACTTTTCCATTATTTGTCTTGCATCAAAAGTTTGTTTTCTAAAGTACCATCTACCTTTTTTTTTGGGTGTAGAAGGGTTGGATGATTCTTGTCTGTATTTAGTGTTCATTAATGTCACATGCAATTTAACATTTTCTTGATATTGCCTTACTAAACCTGTAATTTAAAATTTTCGATAAATGTAAAAATATTACATTTTTATACCTCTACTGTGAAAATGGTCAGAAATTCCATTGGCAATTTTTTGCAAGCACTTTTTTTCATTTGCATCCACTACTTGAGCATTTGCATACAAAATATTTACTTTTTCCAGATTGTTATTCATACAATCTATTCCTGCTAATTTAATTTTTAGTGGTCCCATTTCAGCAACCATGGGGCTGAATATAAACAAATTATTATATTAATTTTGTTATCTATCAAAGTTAGTCCAGTGTCAAAGACCATCACCAGGTAAGTATGTATGGGCAAACCATCAGACAGTAGATTTTATATTGTTTTAGAATAAATTCCATCTGTAGATGCAAGCCCATGGCTACCTGGCTACACACTTTCAACTTACTCAAGTACTTGATCTTTATAGTCATCTAATGCCTTTACAGCTTCTAATTTTTCATGTTCATCCATTAATGCAAAAACAACAACTGTTAAATGTAACTTTTTCACATCTTGAAATATGGATTCATGAATTCCTTCAATTGCTCCATTATTAAGTATTTCATTCTTAGTACGTAAGAATTCATTAAACATAAAACTTATTAATGGAAATTCCTCAATGAAAATACAATTACCTTAAAGTTTTCGAAATTTTCTGATATTTCACTATTCCTTAAAGGAATGGAGATAAACTGCATTGCAGGATGTTTTTCTCTAATGGTTCCCAGTACTGAATGAATAAAGTGCCTAGCAGTAGCAATTCCTTCAGTTTCTGGAGAAGAAATCTTTATTTTTCCTTTTTGGCCATGTTTGGGTATTAAAATAGTTGTCTTTGTTTCTATTTCTAGCAACTTTATATTTGAACCAATCTGTTGATGAAGGTTTATGTAGTACATTCTAAAAGTATACAATAGTCCATTACATCTTCCATATTAAATTTATAGCACTTACGTTGGTAGTCTAAAAGTAGTTGAAAAATGCCCATTTTCTTCAGTAGTGATTTCAAAAATAGAGCAGTGCTCTTCAGTAATGTCTACAATTTAACAGTAAACATAGTTTAAGTCTTTTACAATAAAAATAAAATGTACCTTCTTTTAGCAGAACATTTTTGAGGGTTTCAATTATTGTTAGCTTCTTGTAATTTTTTAGTTCAAAGATCTTTCCATCTATCCACATTCGCAACGGCTTTGTAGAATACATTACATTTCTTAATTTAAGTAAATTAATCTAGAGGATAGTAATAAAGTAAGTCAATGCTAGGTGTATCAGGTTTATTTTATATAACTGGATTTGTATTTGTGACAAAGATAAGGGCAACCATTATCTATACTATCATTTTTGTTGTACAATTTCAATACCTGAAAAGCTATTAAATGTTTTTTATCACTTTAAAGAACTCCTTTTTCACTTTTATTTGCAAACAATACTACCTAATGCACAATAATAAAACAACATAACCTCTAAACGTCAGGAGAATTGTCAAAAATAAAATAATGGAAAGTAATTATTATAATAATGGCAACAACAAAGATACCTGAACAAAAAATAATTTTGTGTGGCGAATATGGTGTGGGCAAAAGTTCAATTTTTAGGAGATTTGCCAATAATACTTTCATAACAGCTACAGGGAGGCAGTCCACTTTAGGTTTAGATCATTATGATAAAGTTTATAATGTTCAAGATAAAGATATAAAGGTATAAACAGAACATTACCTCTTTATTCTCTTAAAGTTAATATGCAGTAAATCATTTCAGCTACAGCTTTGGGACACTGGTGGTATGGAACGTGTTGCTTCAATAACATCCAGCTATTACAAGTTCTCAGAAGCAGCAATATTAGTTTTTTCTCTTGATAATTTGACTTCATTTAACACTCTTTCACAGCATTTATTGGACGTAGTAACATATGCAGAAAATGCAAAAATATTCCTATGTGGTAACAAGTTGGACTTGCAAAGCAGTGAACCTCAAGTTTCTGATGCTGAAATTGAAGCATTTTGGTAAAATTTTATAAAAATGAGTTAATTAATTAAGTTGAATTGTTACTTTTCAGTGAACAATGTCATAATATTATAAGTGGAGTATATAAAACTTCTTGTAAAACTGGTGAGGGGATAGAGAAGATGTTTTATGATATTGCTTATCATTTAGTAGAATCAAACAGGTCTCGTTTAGAGCTTCAAACAATGGATAAACATGGCTTTAAAATATCGTCAAATGAAGAATCTCCTGAAGACTCTTGTCTCTGTTAAGTATAGCTGCACATTCATATTATACACTTGTCAACAAAAGTTTTGTAGCAAAAACAAATTTCTATTTTATTGGATTACAATATGTAGGTATTAATGATTCTAAATGAAGGATATATATCCTTGAAATCATGAAAACATTGTTCAAATAATATATTTTTTAAGGAAATTATTCTCCATTAAAGTTATTTATGTGTTTACTGTATTATATAAAATTTAGTTACTTTTTGTTGATGAGTGTAGTTGTGTAGCTNATGTTACTGAAAAACCTTCAGCCTCTAGAGCTCGACATGAATCTAATACACACTTGTGTTCCTTAAATTGAAAAATACATTAGGAAACAAATTTTACTACAGAAATAACACTTACAGTCTGAGTAGTTACAATGTGTTTCTTTTTAGATTTATAGAATCTAGCAACTCCTTTGACAGCAATATTGTTACATTCAGTTGCCCCTGATGTAAAAATTATTTCCTTAGGATCAGCTCCAATTAAATTAGCCACTTGAGATCTAGCCTTTTCTACTGCTTTTTCTGTTTCCCAACCATAAGCATGAGTTCTAGAATGTGGGTTTCCATAATAACAGGTAAAATAAGGAAGCATAGCATCTAAGACTCGAGGATCCTACAAGTTTTCATAAATGAAATTATGACATCACATAAAATAACCATTTACCAAAGGGGTTGTGGCTTGGGCGTCCAAATATAGCGGCCTTCCAATAAATGATTCATTATTTCCATCATATTTCGAATCTAAAAAATTAAAAAAAGTAGGTTATGTTACATAACCTCAAAAATTACTTACCAGTGGATAAATTTTTATTTACGCCACTGAATATTGTTTTAATTTGCTGTGATTTCGCTAACACTACAGGAAGGTCAAAGATTTTTATAACGTTGCGAATCATCCTGTAATTTTCATTTAAGACACTAAAGGAATTCAGTCATCCACTTTTAAATTCATAAAACCACATACTTGCAATATTGCCCAATTACCTATGCTTCTTGGCTTTTGTACAACAACATAGTCACCTTATTATGCCTTGCATTCACCACCCACTAAGCAATGCGAATTGCCACAACAACTTTTAAACTGTTATGTGAAGTCTATAAGTTGGTAAGTTGGAATAAACAAAACAACTATTCTATGAAACTAGTAAAACTGCAATGTGTAATAGACAATAAAATAAGTGATTATTTTGTCTTGTTTGGGCACCTGTAAATGACTCATCTAAACAAGGTATTTGTTACAATTATTACTTAATCAAGCATATTTGTTTATAGCCTTTATATAAATTTATAACTTGCGCGTTTACATGCAGTAACCTGCAATATTTTAACCCATTTTGCACTCTTCACGTGTTCTTACATTATATTAGGTACCATAAAATATCTAGTTAGGTACTTATTTAAATACAAAAATCTACGAATATTTCAACTGCTTTGGTATTTTTAGTAAAACAAACATTTGTTACTATTTTAAAGTAAACATTTAATTACTTTACTAATACAATCAGAGATAATTACAATAATTTGTCATTAGACAATTAGGCTAATCTTCCGATTCGGACCTACTGAATTGAGGGTCGAGTAAACCTTTTTTAGAAAGTCTAGGCCAATACTTTTCGAATGGTACCTCCCCCCCCCACTTCTAAAGAAGAAAATGACCCTTGATCTTTTTTGGTATTTGAAACCTGATTTAATCTAGATTATGTTATGCCAGTAAAAAGTTTTTCCAACCCCTAGGGGGCCTTTCTTACTGCCTGTCGTAGATGAGATCCCAAATATTGTACGTGCCTATTTCAGGCTAAACTGGATCAAAAGTCAACTTCTCTGACGTTGGAACCATTCCAAAAATCTTGGCTTAAACTTTCCAAAAAGATGTTACTCGATTTCTACTTTATTTTATTGCACCATTTAACTTTTAGATAAAAGTATTGCTATTGAAACATTATAAGTACATTAGTTTTTTCAATAACTTTCGATAAAAATTGCAGTTATTACCTCATTGTTTATGATCGAATGGGATTTTACTTACGCAGAAAATTAAAATTATTTGCAGGTATTGTTTTGGAGATACCAAATTTGATTTGAAATTCAAACTGCTTTCCTATTTTAAAAATTCTGGCTCTATTATAAAAACCTTTTGGTCTTTGCTTAACTTGCACAAAATTCTTACTTTAATAATGTTAAAAATAATATATCATAATATTTTTTTGTTATTATGGATTGCAATACTTACACAAATGAGCAAGATACAAACTTCTTAATGTCTGTTTGATGTAACTTTTTAATTCTTTGGAGAGATGGGATTATCAATTATCACCCTGATAGTTTTTGTTTGTATGCTTAATTTAAATTTTGAATATAATTTCGATTTACTAGCAGAGGGAACGGGTACAATTAGAGTAAAATAAAATCCATCGCTTTATTATCTTAACTATGATATGTTAGCGTATGTTTTCCAAATATAGGCTTTATTTACATTCAAAACATATAAAACAGTTATTTAGTATTGGGCTTGCATCCCTATTATTTAAATAAATAAATATTTTGATATTTGAATAGAGTTCTTTTATTATTAATTTTACCTTTTGGGCCATATATCTTGTGTCCACTAATTGACATTAAATCAATATTCATACTTTGAACATCCATAGGTATTTTACCAACAGCTTGGGCTGCATCAGTGTGAAAGAATACTTTTTTTTTACGACACAATCGACCTATTTCATTGACAGGCTGCTTTACACCTATCTCGTTGTTAACAGTCATAATAGAAACAAGAGATGTTTCTGGAGTGATAGCTTTATCAAGTTCTTCTAATGAAATTATTCCATTATGATTTACAGCCAAATATGTTACTGAAAAACCTTCAGCCTCTAGAGCTCGACATGAATCTAATACACACTTGTGTTCCTTAAATTGAAAAATACATTAGGAAACAAATTTTACTACAGAAATAACACTTACAGTCTGAGTAGTTACAATGTGTTTCTTTTTAGATTTATAGAATCTAGCAACTCCTTTGACAGCAATATTGTTACATTCAGTTGCCCCTGATGTAAAAATTATTTCCTTAGGATCAGCTCCAATTAAATTAGCCACTTGAGATCTAGCCTTTTCTACTGCTTTTTCTGTTTCCCAACCATAAGCATGAGTTCTAGAATGTGGGTTTCCATAATAACAGGTAAAATAAGGAAGCATAGCATCTAAGACTCGAGGATCCTACAAGTTTTCATAAATGAAATTATGACATCACATAAAATAACCATTTACCAAAGGGGTTGTGGCTTGGGCGTCCAAATATAGCGGCCTTCCAATAAATGATTCATTATTTCCATCATATTTCGAATCTAAAAAATTAAAAAAAGTAGGTTATGTTACATAACCTCAAAAATTACTTACCAGTGGATAAATTTTTATTTACGCCACTGAATATTGTTTTAATTTGCTGTGATTTCGCTAACACTACAGGAAGGTCAAAGATTTTTATAACGTTGCGAATCATCCTGTAATTTTCATTTAAGACACTAAAGGAATTCAGTCATCCACTTTTAAATTCATAAAACCACATACTTGCAATATTGCCCAATTACCTATGCTTCTTGGCTTTTGTACAACAACATAGTCACCTTATTATGCCTTGCATTCACCACCCACTAAGCAATGCGAATTGCCACAACAACTTTTAAACTGTTATGTGAAGTCTATAAGTTGGTAAGTTGGAATAAACAAAACAACTATTCTATGAAACTAGTAAAACTGCAATGTGTAATAGACAATAAAATAAGTGATTATTTTGTCTTGTTTGGGCACCTGTAAATGACTCATCTAAACAAGGTATTTGTTACAATTATTACTTAATCAAGCATATTTGTTTATAGCCTTTATATAAATTTATAACTTGCGCGTTTACATGCAGTAACCTGCAATATTTTAACCCATTTTGCACTCTTCACGTGTTCTTACATTATATTAGGTACCATAAAATATCTAGTTAGGTACTTATTTAAATACAAAAATCTACGAATATTTCAACTGCTTTGGTATTTTTAGTAAAACAAACATTTGTTACTATTTTAAAGTAAACATTTAATTACTTTACTAATACAATCAGAGATAATTACAATAATTTGTCATTAGACAATTAGGCTAATCTTCCGATTCGGACCTACTGAATTGAGGGTCGAGTAAACCTTTTTTAGAAAGTCTAGGCCAATACTTTTCGAATGGTACCTCCCCCCCCCACTTCTAAAGAAGAAAATGACCCTTGATCTTTTTTGGTATTTGAAACCTGATTTAATCTAGATTATGTTATGCCAGTAAAAAGTTTTTCCAACCCCTAGGGGGCCTTTCTTACTGCCTGTCGTAGATGAGATCCCAAATATTGTACGTGCCTATTTCAGGCTAAACTGGATCAAAAGTCAACTTCTCTGACGTTGGAACCATTCCAAAAATCTTGGCTTAAACTTTCCAAAAAGATGTTACTCGATTTCTACTTTATTTTATTGCACCATTTAACTTTTAGATAAAAGTATTGCTATTGAAACATTATAAGTACATTAGTTTTTTCAATAACTTTCGATAAAAATTGCAGTTATTACCTCATTGTTTATGATCGAATGGGATTTTACTTACGCAGAAAATTAAAATTATTTGCAGGTATTGTTTTGGAGATACCAAATTTGATTTGAAATTCAAACTGCTTTCCTATTTTAAAAATTCTGGCTCTATTATAAAAACCTTTTGGTCTTTGCTTAACTTGCACAAAATTCTTACTTTAATAATGTTAAAAATAATATATCATAATATTTTTTTGTTATTATGGATTGCAATACTTACACAAATGAGCAAGATACAAACTTCTTAATGTCTGTTTGATGTAACTTTTTAATTCTTTGGAGAGATGGGATTATCAATTATCACCCTGATAGTTTTTGTTTGTATGCTTAATTTAAATTTTGAATATAATTTCGATTTACTAGCAGAGGGAACGGGTACAATTAGAGTAAAATAAAATCCATCGCTTTATTATCTTAACTATGATATGTTAGCGTATGTTTTCCAAATATAGGCTTTATTTACATTCAAAACATATAAAACAGTAAGAAATTGGTCATATATTTACAGACGTTCTTATAAAGTAACTAATCAGCTTTACTTAATAATTTTCAATTGAATTTAATAAAGCTGTAATAGCGATTCTAATTTTTACGAAACGTTGTGTACATCCTATAACACCTAANAAGTTTGTCTAGATTGTGTTTTAATCTTTTAATGGTTTTTTAATCTTTTAATCCTTCTCTTTTCAGGCTTCGTGTTGTGACACAATAGCGTCTGAATAACACTCTTCAAGAATTACAGGTAAGAAAACGTTACATTATTTTGATATTAGTCTTCGGTTTGCGTATGATAAAGTCTTTACTGTTCTATTAAAATCATCATCATAGCGCTAATTTGGGCCTACATAACTCTAACAAAATGGAAGAGTTTAAATGTCATACATAAATTCAAAACCTTCATTTTTTTCTCTCGCTTAGACTTAAGACTCGAATTAATTATTAAAAAATTAAGAGTTATTAACACCTTCATCATTTAGTTTGCGCTAGTCGATAACCTACCCTAGCAGCGCTTTTCAAATTTTTACATTTCGAACTGAAAACTTATTTTTATCGAAATAAAATGTAACCTACGTGACTCAGGAATAGCTAGCTATCTATTAGTCCAAAAATTTTTTAAAATTGTTCCTGTAGTTCCAGAGATTGTCTTGCTTCTTACACTCATTAGCACCCTCTCTTAATGTTTAAAATTTTTCTGACTAAAAGTTCAACCCAAAGATGCACCCCTTTTTCTAGATTCCATGGTATATTACCATAAAGACCTAAATATTTTTACGTTTACTTTTCCTACGGTATGTGTGAAATGCCATGCACTACCGACAATGGTATAGGAATAGGTCCCACCGTCCAAAATCGGGTCAATTAGTTCAATTAGTATTTGTATAATTCTGTTATGAGTTGAAATTAAAGAAGAATATTTGAAATAATTCCATCAAATGTTTCGACGTATAAAGGTCTCGGATTTTTGTTTTGCTCCACGTTTTTTCGTTTCCTCCTGTAGGTACCTAACTTAATTTATTCATTTTATGTTCGCGGGAATACGCCGAGAGATATTCCATTTCGGTTGGATGGCAACGACCGAGCACTAAACATAATATTTTTAGTATAAAAAAGTAAGGAAAAATCATAAATTATTCTTTCGGTGTTTCGGGGTCGAGACGAAGAATGCCTCTTGGGATGTTAGTGAAACGTACGATGCCATCAGCCGGCTCGTTCATAGTGGCACTGCGTTGTACGTTTTGGTTCATATTAAGCCCCATATATCTTAGCTTTTGAATTTACGACCGCGGAACAACCCTAACCTACAACAATGCCACGGCAAGCCACGTTTTCGCACGAAATTATCACTGGTTTACTCAGATACTCCCGTTGGATTTCATTCTACCTCCGGGACGGTATAAATTCTCGTCGAACAGTCGCAACAATGAATACTCCCGTAATATTGGTCGATCTGTTAGAATTGCTACTGTATAACGGACATCAGGTCCATTTATATCTGCTCCAGGCGTTTCTCTGTATACTTAACTGATATGAAAACATTTTCGCTTGCCTCGTCCTTGTTTATGTATCCTTTACCGTTTAACGTGCAAGAGCTAATGAACGGAAAACGTCTGTTAAGTCCTGTTTTTCACTTTTTTGTGTACATGAAATAATGCCTGCGAGGCGCTGATGAGATCCAAAAGATCGAAATCGCGATCCGCGTCGGGTAGTTTCGACAGAATACAGATCCTAAAATGTAGCATCGTGCCACAGATGGCGTTTACTGCGTCATTTGTAGTATTTTCTAAAACCTGTAAGTTGTTTTCGGGTTAATGTGTTTCCATAAAATAAAGGTCAAGTGTTTGTTTCTGTTACATCCAATTAGACACCTACCAGTTACTTGAAGATTTGCCTTACGTGCAAATAATCCTAAATGTACTTCCGGAAATATCCTTGTTTCTGTACGTATATTTATCTCAAGTTATACGCATAACTCTCACAAGTTAGTAATGGAGAGACACAGTCAGCTGCATCAACAGCTAACAGCAAACTCCACTATTTTCGTGGTAAATAAATTTTCACCGAGAAAGTCATAGGCTGTGTCACCAAACTTCTGTATTATGCATATTTGAGGTGGATTTTGCAGTATAGTATTTTTAGTGAGAATTTTCTGGTGCAGCGAATACATTAAATTTTTGGTTATGCATTTTAAAAAGAGAGTGATGTAGATTTACAATGTTTTATGGGTGCATTTGGAATATGTTCTGCTTTGAAATGCACCTGTGCTTTGGATTTTTATCTGACAATGGATATAGATGGTAAAAAGAGGAACTGTGTACATGACAGAACTGAAATAAATCTGAAAAATATAAACAAAGGCTTTGAATGGCTGCGTGATTAGAGGCCCTAAATATTGACTGAAACGAAACATCTCTCACATAGCTACCAGGAAAAATGTTTTAATAGATATGTTAACGGAAATTTGTGTAATCCGTTATTGTATATAATTCCTAGGAAATTTATACACTTCCTAAAATCGCCCAGAAATGTGTGAAATAANATGCGAAGTTTAGCTCAGGATAGGAAAGAGTGGAGGTACGTGTCCAACCAGTCTTAGGACTGACGACCTTATGATGATGATGAAAAATAACATTTGAAAAAAATTTGACACTAAATTTTTAGTGTTTATTTAGTTAAGCTGCACAGTATTCCAATTGATTTTCTTGTATTCACTTTTAGATACAATAAGCCTTCTAATATTTTCATTACAAAAGTATGTTAAATCAGTTTCTCGTAGCTTTTACGAATGCTACAAATTAATTGTTTATAATACGTATTAAAAAAAGAATGTTAATCTTCTGTGTACATGGCAATTTTTATTTACTTGAAAAATGAATTTGTGGTTGAAAAATTAACAAATAGTGATTTGAGTTTACTTAATTTTAAATTTTAAACCTTAAACAACTATAATAGTCTATGTTTTTCGCATTAGGTATATCTGGTGTCACTGTTGAATTTTTCGGGGTAATAAACCGTAAGATTCGACTCTGTAGGGGTAGATAGGGTACGGTGTAAGAGTTAGTACGAAATAGGCTACGTTCCTCCATATTTATACGCGTCCAAATAAAGTATAATTCATAATTTTTGATAATACACTTACTACGTAATATTATTCATTTACAAAATGAACACTTATGGTATAATTATTATGTACAATTTAATGAAGCAATCTAAATTTCCCCTTTATCTTAATAAGGTTTAGTCATGTACATTAATAAATTATGTGTATAAAACGTTTTTCTAAAATCGATTTTCTTTACAAGTGGATTGCAGTAATTTACAATCGCTTTATAATTATTACCTTATTTATTAGATAAAATTATCGAAATAGCACCGATATGCCCTTTCATAAAGAGCATTGTAAAAACAATTTTAGACTTGATTAGATTTCACTATAAGATCCGTTTCTATTGTAACTAGTAGATACATTACGTTATAAGGAATAATTTTATTTAGACAGCATTTACGCTTCAATACGTGGAAGATACGTATTCACCTAAATTTCAAATAAACGTACATAGTTACTTAAATGTATGAACCTACATACCTAGATTATTTACAGCACAGGGTTAATAAAAAGTAAGTTTCATTGGTTTTTATTTACTTTTTACTAACCTTTTCTA